TCAGTATGTAAATTAATAAAAATAATATTTGTTTGAAGATAGTGCAAACTGTCAAAATATAGAATTTTGATAAAATGTATATTGAAAGTAGTGAAAGGGAAAGGATTTAAATCTAAAGCTTAGTGAGGCTTATATTTTGATTTTAAATAATAGTAATAAAGTGTTAAAGTGAATCCAGTTTGTTTATTTGTTTTTATAGTCAAGGACGACTTGCAATAAGTCAACTTCATTTTATTTTCTAGTATGATTTATAAATTTTCAGTATGGAATATTTCTATAATATTTTTTATCAAGTTTTATGAATGATTTTGGGTATGAACTGCCCAAGTATGATATTTAAGAGGATGAATTCTAAATGTTTACAGTTATCAGATAATTTTCAGTGATCATATGATTTTCAGTTATCAGATGATTTACAGTAATCAGATAATTATAAGACCAGATATTTCACAGTTATCGAACATAGAATAATAAATGATTCTATGATAATAAGGATAAGCCCATTGTATGTTGCATTGAGAGTCATAAGTACATTTGGCATGCCATTAAGTGAGTGCTTATCAATTCAGCTTTGGTACATTCGTGTATCAATGTTCAGTTATCAGTTCAACTTTGGTACATTCTTGTATCAATGTTCAACATCGTTGGTGTTCATTCAGGTTATGATTGCACTGAAGTGCATCATATCTCAATTTCAGTTATGATTCAGTATTGTGTTGTGCCTAGTGCGCACCTTAAACTCACATACCTTATATTCTCTTACATATACATTGGCCTATAACAGTAAATGTGAAAGTTATGACAGTATGTGAAAAAAAGGAACATAGACTTGAAAAGAAAGTTTTGAAATATGTTTGACTGAACAAAACAAAAGTTATTTATGATATTCGATGTTGACTTACATGATTTTTGATAAAATCATGAGATGATGATTTTTCAGGTTTTCAGAAGGAAAAAAACTTGACCAACTCGGTTTGAAGTTTAATGTTTTTATTTAAATTACAATTTATTTCTTATATTTTTTTTGAAATTTATGGTTTTATATCACTTTAATTATATTTCTGCCTCACTAAGTTTTACTTAGTGCGTGATGATTTTCATGCGTAGTTCGAATAAAGTAGAGGTCGTGAAGTAAGGAGCTTGCCAGCATCTTATGCAAATTCAAACCTACCGACAATATCAGTAAGACATCCTAACTTTGACTTATTAGTGGCATTTACATTATATTTGTTGGGTTGCCTTATTTAATTTATTTTAAAAGGGTTTATAATAGTAATTAGGGTTATTTTCTTTAGTTTTGTCTAATTTTAGTATTAACCGTATTTATGAGTAAATATTATAAATGTTATATTTTAAATGGTTTAAAACGCATCGAAATTAGGCAGTTGTATTTGGATATGAAACAGCACTGAACTGCCTAATTACTGACTGAAATCATATTAGTTTTCAATTATCAAATGATGTTTTATAAATTTTTATGATTAATGAACAAGCTTTTAAAGTTAAAAAGGAAATTATTAAATAAAACAAAATTTTTAAGCATTTAAGTTTAGAAGATGCCAGTTGAGTTGATGTGACATATATAGCTCATATTACGAGATATATGAGCTATGGGTTTTACATTTCTTGGGCATCGAGATTAAACGGTGTGCAGACTCTATTGTATTGAGTTAGAAGAAGTTTATGTTGGATTTGCTAACAAAAACGAAAATGGATCAAGTCACGCCAACTAATTTTCCTATGGTTGTGGCTAATAAGATGTCTAAGGATGTAGGCAATCCTTTAGTTGATGCACATGAGTTTCGTAGCATTATTGGTTCACTACTGTATGTGTGTCATACTTGACCTGATATAGCTCTCAGTGTGAGCAAGGTTGTTTAATACATGCAAGCCCCTTGTGTGTCTCATCTTCTGGCAGTTAGGAGAATTCTTCGATACTTGAGAGGCACGTTGAATTATGGCTTGACTTTCACACCTGCTAGTTATGACCTTCAAGTTACTACATTTATTGATGCAGACTGGGGTGGTGATATGGATGATAGACGATCGATGTCTGATCATTGTGTTTTTATTGGAAATTTTTTAGTGTCCTAGTTATCAAGAAAACAGAAGATTGTTTCAAGATCAACCATGGAAGCTGAGTATAAAAGTATTGTTAATGTTGCTGCAGAAGTAACGTGTAACAATGTTTTGCTTGCAGATCTAGGTGAAGTTCAGGTCACACTGCCTATCATCTGGTGTGACAATTCTGGTTCTATTGCAATGAGTGCCAATCCAGTTTATCATGCACATTCCTAGCATGTTGATCTCGATGTGCATTTCATTCGCTAGAAAGTTACTGCTAAACAATTACAAGTTTAATATGTGCCAGCGTTTCATCATATTGCAGATGGTTTTACTAAACCATTGGCTCGAGGTGCTTTTGATATTTTTCGCGAACGAGTGAATGTTCAACTGGTTGAAAACAACTAAAAAGCAGAGGAAATGTTGAATATAGAAGCATTGACTGACGGTTATAATTGTAGACATGTCAAAAGCTTATTACTTAGTTGACTGCAATAGGTGATTATGCAGGTGTGAGGTTGTTAGGATTGTTAGACAGTTAAGTAGCTACCTAAGCAAGCAAGCTACATGATCATTAAAGTGCTATATATAGAGCACATTTGCTTCATTGTAAAGTGATCTGGTTTTATCAATTGAATAAAGAATTTCTTTAAGCTTTCTTTCTAATTTCTCAATATAAGGCAATAGTAATTCCAATATATTTATGAAATCCTATGAATTCAGTTACCTTAAGGTCACGAACAAGACCACCATTGAAACAAAACTTGAGTCGGTCGATACAGCACCATCCACATTTACATGGGCAAAACTACATTGTATGTGGGAGGGACAATTGCCCCCACCGAGATTGATGGTTTAATTGTTTTTAGGTCACTAATATTTTTAAAATCATTACAATTAAGTCATTGCCCTACTCAAAATTGGTTGGTTTAATTATATTTAGGACCCTTTCAATTTTAAAATGAAATTATATCCAGACCTCCAATTTTTATGGTCTAATTACTCTTTAGTACTCCTCAATTTTAAAATTATTATAACCCATTTAAATTTCATGGTTTATTCAATTTTAAAAACTTTATTTATTTCAAAATTAAATAACTTATTTTTCACAATTTAATCATGATTCCGTCTCTGTACATTACACAGTTCATCTCTGTTCAGGAGCTATTCCCCTATTGATTATCTCTGTTCAGGAGCTATTCCCCTATTGATTGTGATGAAGTGTGAGTGATAAATGATGCGTGTCATGGGGCTTCCATGACCTCCTAGTCTTGGTTCATAGATAAACTTGTTGGTCTAGGCCAAGACTCGGTAATTGGGCCTATTGATTTATTTGGTGATTGGTCCAAGTATTATAAATAAATTTACGTTAACATCATTAAAGATACTCAAACCGATGAATGTTGGTACAAATTATTGGAATTCAATAATTTGAGTTTGTGAGACTAAGTTTAAATTCTACTACTGTCACTCTTAGTAGGTAATCTGTAAATTTCTATGTAAATCTTAATTGAATCTTAGGTATGCTCTGACCCTGGACTGAGAGAATCACTTTTGACCTAAATTTTTTGTACAAAAAATAATAATGATGATAAGATATTCTCGTGTCACATCATTAATTTGTACCATTTACAAGAATAGAAACGATGGGAAGCTTATCCACTGTAGTCCTTCCACCAATGGCATTAACTATGCATATAAATGTCCGTGATCAAAGCATTTACTGAGAAATGGTAATGAATATAGAAAGAACCATTTTAAAAGCTTTTTTAAAAAATGAAAACACACACCCTTTGTTGTTTGTCTTATCATCTTCTGTCGTTTCGGTTGAAAAATGATGTTAGAGAAACATGAAGCCTCACTCAAGAAATAACACAGGTGTCGAACCTTTTAAAACAGGAGTTGCATGCCATCCGCAATTTTTGTGTTCTTTCTTTGTGTCACGTGGTGAAACTTTGAGATTCTTTTCCTAGTAAAAAAAACAACATAAAACCAAAGACTATATGAAATTAACCTCGCAAAACAACTAGCCGAAGAGGTATAAAATGTAATGGCAAGACATTACAAGATTCCTTAGCTTTTCAGAAGGTCCACCAATAGTTGAGGACACTTAAATTGGTGAAATCAGAAATGTAAATCCAGGGCCGCCCCCCTAGCTATGACCTGTGAGAAGTTAAAAATATTATTAGGGATTATCATGAGTTGGGTCAAATAAGGTTGTCAGATTTTTAATTCATTGAATTTCATCTAAAAAAATAGATCTCTTCACTTTTATTTAATTCAGAGTTAGGAAGGTCTCATCCGATATGAAGCACAACTTAATTTTTAAGTTAAATCTTACATTCGATTCGATGTTTAAGTCAAAACTACATTTGATCCAACCTATATATATATATATAATGATCTAGTTTAGAAAAAATAGAAAGATATATTATTACAACACTCTTTAAATATATAAATGATATTTATAACATTCTATTGGATCATGTCGATTTAGATTTTTATCATCCTAAATTTTATCAGGTTAAATTTCACAATTAAAAAAAACCGACTTAAAATCAAAACCCATCGAATAAAAATGAAATGCCCGTACAATTACCTAGATAACAATCCTTATCACTAGCCTGCGTGCGGGATTCTCAAACCTCCCTTGCTTTTCTCCAAATCCATAATTGGAGTAAATAAAAAAAATCAGGGACACACTCATTAAAAGTATGTAAAAGATTACATCATTAGAGTTTGTACAAAAGAAGAAGATTAGGTTTCTTGTTAGACAACTCTAATTCCACGCGAGGTAATTTTTTTTTTCACAAGATCATGTGATTGTTTATTTATAGGTGATTAAATCTTAATTTGCATAATTTGAGATATTGCATCCCCCTTCACGAGTTCTTAAATTATACATAGAACCAAAAGTAGATAAAGCCGTCCCCCATCAAAACAGAATGTCGGACTCAACAATTATTTTCTCAATCCTGTTCTTTCCACTTCTCTTTGCATCACAACCATGTCAGCGTATCCTCGCCTCCGCCGTCGTCGAAGGTCAATGGCAACTTCTACAAAAAAGCTTAGGCATCTCAGCCATGCATATGCAGCTCCTTAGGAACGACCGTGTAGTTATGTTTGATAGAACTGATTTTGGACTATCAAAACTGCCATTGCCTAATGGAAAATGCCGCTATGACCCAACAGACACATCTCTCAAAGTGGATTGCACTGCTCATTCACTTGAGTACGATGTTTTAACCAATAATTTCAGAGCTCTCATGGTTCAAACCGACGTTTGGTGCTCTTCAGGGGCTGTCATGCCGGATGGTAACTTGGTCCAAACCGGTGGATACAACGACGGCGAACTAAAGGTCAGGGTTTTTAGCCCATGCGGGACCTGCGATTGGCTAGAAACACCAAATGGATTGGCTGTCAAAAGATGGTATGCCTCCAACCATATCTTGCCCGATGGAAGACAAATTGTTGTCGGTGGTCGGGGACAATTTAACTACGAGTTTGTTCCTAAAACCATTACCGCCAACACGTTCAATTTGCCTTTCTTGTCGGAAACCAATGACAGAGGAGCAGAGAACAATCTCTACCCTTTTGTTTTCCTCAATGTTGATGGAAACTTGTTTATTTTCGCAAACAATCGAGCTATTTTGCTTGATTACATGAAAAACAAAGTTGTGAAGACGTATCCAACGATTTCCGGTGACGATCCTAGAAGCTATCCCAGCACTGGTTCAGCAGTTCTGCTTCCACTGAAGAACTTGAAATCGCCAGACATTCAAGCTGAAGTTTTGGTTTGTGGAGGTGCTCCAAAAGGATCTTTTTTTCAAGCTAAACGTAAGAAAGTTTTCATTGGAGCCTTGAACACTTGCGCCAGGATCAAAATAACCGACCCCAACCCACGGTGGGTGATGGAGACCATGCCTCTGGCTAGAGTTATGGGTGACATGATATTGCTTCCAAACGGTAATGTCTTGATCATCAATGGAGCTGGTGCAGGAACAGCAGGATGGGAACTTGGTCGGAACCCAGTTTTGAATCCGGTATTATACAAGCCTGATAAAGAAATCAGGACACGGTTCGAGACACAAAACCCGACAACGATTCCTCGGCTCTACCATTCTACTGCTGCATTACTTCGTGATGGCAGAGTTTTAGTTGGAGGAAGCAATCCTCACAATTTTTACAACTTCACGAACGTTCTTTTCCCTACTGAACTAAGCTTAGAAGCATTCTCTCCAACATATTTAGATGCTAAATTCAACAGCGTAAGACCAACAATCGTTGCACCAAAATCAACGTGTGGGATCAAATACGGGCAAAAGTTAACTGTTCAAGTGGTGATTGCAGGTAAAGTAGCTCAAAACCAGGTGTCTGTAACAATGGTAGCACCGCCTTTCAATACACATTCATTCTCCATGAATCAAAGGTTGCTTGAACTTGGAAATGACAAGGTGACGGCTTTGGAGAAATCTATGTACAACATTGATGTCACAATACCACATTCGGATAATATCATGCCGGCAGGGTTTTATCTTTTGTTTGTGGTCCATCAGGGCATTCCCAGCAAAGGCAATTGGGTCAAATTGCTGTAAAGAGAAAGGTCAACACTTCATATGTTCATAAAGATGTGATCCCCCGTCCATATAAGCTGACAATTTTTACTGCAGTAAAAAACATGTATCTACAAAGGATTTGTCATATGATATGAATGATGCTTTAGCTCTTCATGTTTCCGTAAAGCCGTTTGAAATAGCCAAGTAACAAGTAATGTATTAATTTATTCACACCACGCATATTTCGGCGTCCATAAGCAAAAAATGGGCATTGAAACAGCCAGTAGGGGCCATCGTGGATTTATATTTGGGACCTATCTCGATCCTTTTCATATCTAAAACACGATAGTTGCAGCTGTTTTATGTTCTTTTCTTGTTTCGGTTCTCTTACTTACAATGGCATTGATTATGGCTTTAGAATTCTCCATTATGCAGGCCTTATCTTGCACCAATGGCAATGGCTTACTTGTAGCTCCAAGATGAACCAGAAATAAAACGGGGTTTGTTCTTTGGCTCGTGTAATCCACCTACTCAAGCTTTATGTGGCTAATGTGAATAAGTATTGCACTAATCCATGAAAACTACTTTAATCACATATTCTATATATGTCAAGATGATTTAATGCAAAGACCAGTTCCTAGTTGATGCCTTCCTTGCATTTACCCTTTGTTTTAAATTATGTATCAGCTTGTGATTAATACATCAATTGTGCTTTGATTCGCTAATTTTGATCACAATCTTGAAAGTTGAATTAAATAGAATATTGAGTTTGTTTTTAGCTTTTATTTATTCATTTATTGTTGATCAAGTTCCTTTATAAGTTTAATGCGATTCTGTCCTCATCCCACCCTGAATCTACATCTAGCTAGCTTTACAATGATGATTGAGTGAATTCACATCTGCAATGGCGCTACCTGCACATGTAGGTTGTGAAATTTTGATTTTTTTTAAAATAATTAATAATAAACATTGTGGAAGAACTAAAGTCATTGGGGTGGTGGCGCAGTTGGCTAGCGCGTAGGTCTCATAGCTTTCTGAGAAATCCTGAGGTCGAGAGTTCGAGCCTCTCTCACCCCAAATCTTACTTTTTTTTTCTAGGTTGGGTAATTGAAAAAATAAAATAAACTATTAAACTAAGGACCCAGTTGACCATAAACATAGCAGCAATAGGGTACCAAAACTGAAAATTCCCATTTTTTTACAAAACACTCAGCAGTGAAATTTCGCTTCACAATTTGGTTTTATCAGAGATATATAGAATCAATTAAAGCTTCACAAACGACACTTGATTGATCTACAAGTTGGAAGATGCATGAGATGAGGAATAAGTTGGAAAGAATGAATGAATTGTACGTTATGCTCGATTGAAGTGTATTAAATTGAACAATATTGTCAAGACTCGACTACGTTACTGTGCTTCTATTTCTCTTCTTAAGGTAAAAAGATGAAGTCTTGACCCCTTTTTTTTCAACAACTTCTATTTAATGGGAGTGATTTAAATTCATTACGATTTTTGTCTTTTGATTTTGTTCATGGTGTAGAGTAATTTGATGATAATATGGTCTTCTCCTTACGGCTGTAATTTGATTATGAAACACTCTTGGAACTGACATTTCCGGCAAAGGCATTTGAATCAATTTGCATTAAAGAAACAGGTCATATGTTCATAAATCCCGTCTATATAAGCTCAACTCATAGGCTTTTTAATGGTTTTCCAGCAAGAAACAAGCAGTGGATTAACTTATTCACACCACGCTTAGTTTAGGGTTAATATAAGCTGATAATGTTATTTTATTTCTTTTAATATGAAAGAGGCATAAACCATTACATCAATAAGGGGGTTATTCGGGTATAGGGGATCATAAATATCTCTAAGAAGGATATTTTGTAAAAAGATTAAAAAAAAAAGGAGTCCTAGACTGATAAGGATTCAGTTGAGGAATAGATGTCTTTGATTATTATATCAGCTGTGCGTTAGCTTCAGCTCAAATTAACGTTATGTCAACCAACCATGCTTTATTGATTAAAGCAACAATGGCATGAATTATAGAGAAAGGACTAGTGATTGAAATGGAGGATAAGAGCTCGTGTACATTGACGCTGTCTATTTGAAGCAAGACTCTATTAAAACCTTGGGATGAGGTTAGTTTTAATCCATCATAAACTCGCCAAAGTTTGGCTTGAAAGACCATCGTGATTGCTAGTAGTTTGTTGGATCCAGATGAGGTTACCTTCTTGATCTCGTAGAACACCACCCGCTGAACCGAAACCAGAAAGCAAAGAGACTGCTCCATCAATGTTCAGCACAATCCAGTTCTGCTGAAGGGGTTTCAATTGGATGCTTTCAATTCTATTAATCATTGGAGAGGGACTCCGTACCCATTGTTAAACTTTTATCCTCTATTTTTTGACACAAAATTCATATTGTACCTATTGTAATTTTAATTAAAATTTCCTGTATTTTAGCGTATTTTCTTATCAACTTTTTGATATTACGATCCTTCATTAGAAGGTGAAGGATATGTCTAATCCACTTTGTCTACCAACAATTTGTTCATGTCCAAACGCTTTCCGCATCTGAAAATTTGCTTCCCAGATTGCTGATTTGCAAGTTCGTGACGACAGTTTTACGGAGAGGAATCCTCTGCAAATTCGAATTCTAATGAATTAACAAATATTCAGACAAAGTACATTATTAAAAATAGAAACTTAAAAACAGCAACAAAATTTGAATCTTGGTTCATTCCAGTGGTCTGTGTCAGATTTCAGTATCTCATCTACAAAGGAAACCAGACAGGGATAAGTGATTCAAAATATTTCTCATCAAACACAGACAACACTGTAATACAAAATTCCCACAAAAGCTGAAAAATAAGAGCTTTCTTTGCATAATTTTTATAAAAACAAGAAGAAGAAAGCCTCAGACCGTCCTAGTTCATGAATTTCAACAAATCTGTGCAGAGTATAACTGCATTTCAGAAATGTCTCTATAGATTCATCATTGGCTTCTTCCGCAAATTGCAAATAAAAGATTAAAATCAAAGTGCATAAATAAAAAAAAAGATAAAAAGGCACCAGATCTTCCTATTCAAATAGACGAAATCAAGATACTCGAAACTTTAATTAATTCTCGAGCATTCATCGATTCGAATATTCATCATTTCGCCTCCATTTTGATCTAGAAAAGTAACGCAACAAACATAAGCAACTGAATAATTTTGCTGATAAAAAATCTAAAACGAAAAGAAGCAGCTTGAAGATGAAAACCTAAGAAGAAGAAAAAAAAGAGACGGACGAGCCGTGGCAGTAATTTGAGATTTAGGGTCTTGTAATGATTCTGTCGAATCCCGACCTCGTTTTATTACCATTTTCCGTGGCGTTTTGGGCAGGACGGTGTGATGAAATAATGTGAGAGGACAGAGGTAACGAAAAAAACATGGGACGTAAACTAGGGGACTATTCTTAGCCCTAGGTCCAAAAGCCTCGATTCAAAAAAAAAAATTTTGTCCGCCCGGTTCTAATTAATCCGGACGGATTCGGTCGCATACCTAATTATATTAGGTGAGTCTTTAAACGAATATTTTCTTTATATACAAAGACTCGAATTTAAAATCTACTTAAATAATATCAAACTGCTTACTACTTGAATCAACCTCTATTAATAGCTTTATTTCAAATTTGATATCGCTTGAAAGAAATATATATTTTTTTGTTCAATACTAGTGGAGCAAATTTGCAATTTATTATTATTATTATTGTGAACACTAATTTTTCATTTTACTTAAATTATTATTATTAAAATTATTATTATTATTATTATAAATATTATTATTATATTATATATATTATATTATTATTAAATATATTATTACAAGCCCAAATAATCAGGCCCATTTTACAAGCCTAAACCCTAAACCCAATTAGGGTTTTCATCATCTCAGCTTACAGCCACCAATGATCTCAGCCGTTGGATATGGTCTGATCCAACGGTCCACAGCTTTCCAGATAAAACCCTAGGGTGATGATACCCTAGGGACACCCCCAGCCGCTTCCAAGATCCCAGAAGGCCAGCTGCCGTCAACATCATCAGCCGTTGGATCTGGCAAGATCCAACGGCCCAAAAGGGTTCCAGATTGAAAACCCTAGGGTTTCTAACCCTAGCAGCCAGCCGTTTCCAGATGCTTCCAGCCGCCTCTGATGATTCCAGGTGGTCCAACAGCTGTTGCCGACACTCCAGAACGTCACGAAGCCAACCACGTCGAGCCCTATGGTGAGTCACCACCATAGCTATGGTGACTCACCGGGCCTTTCGTCCTTTGGACCAGTCTGAAGCCATCACCGGTGGTGGCTATAAAAGCCACCGTCCCCTGCAAGAAACAAAAGAAACCAAGGGAGAAGCGATACACAGAGACGAGCAATAGAAACGAGCAACAGAGACGAACCCACAACCAGCAGTAAACCAAAATAGAAACGAAGAGAAGAAGAGGAACTTACCCTTAAAGCCTCGCTCATTGCCGGAAATACCGAGCGTCACCGGAGTCTCATTTTTCGAAGGTAAAAAAAATTAGATCTACGTCGATCTAAAGAGATTTAGGGAAAAAGGAGACTAGAACCGTCATTAGGGAGTTCAGATCTATCTTCTGGGGGTTTTGTAAATTTCCGGCCACCATTGACGGTGACCGGCGGCGACGATCGCCACCGGAGAACGGTGGCCCGTGGCTGCCGGGATTCTCTCCGTTGAGAGAGTTAGAGAGAATTTTTAATTCTCTCAGTTAGAGAGAGAAGAGAGAAAGAAGAGAGTGAGGAAGATGGCCCGAATGGCCGGCCATTTGGGGTATTTAAACCCCTCCTCGAACGACGTCGTTTTAGGGGAGGGGTGTGCATGTAATTTCCATCAGGGGTAAATCCTTTCCGCAGCCATCCTAATTTGTAAACTTTACATTTTAGTCACTAAATCAATTTATAATCCTTTTAAATCGGTTCTTTAATTTTAGTTTTATTTATTTTAGTCCTTTATATTAAAATAATATATTTAGGATAAATATCACATTTAGTCCCTCATAGTTTTTTAAATTTTATTTTAGCCTTGAATAAATAATTAAGGTTAAATTAAAATATTAGGATATAGATTTCTTAATATTTCGAATTTGATCTTTCATCTTCAATACTTTATATTTTGATTATATAATTTTAATTTTATTTATTACATTGCAATTTTATTTTATTGTTATATATTTAAATTAATAATTATTATTATTTTAATAATATTAATATATTATTTTAATAATATTAATATATTATTTGATTAATTTTATAAAAATTTTATAATAATGTTTATTTATTTTTTTATATATCAAAGAAAAGGATAGTCTTAAAGCAACTAGATGTCTGTTTTCTGATAATTTTAAATAAATAAATATTTTACTTTTTATATATTAATCTATTATTTTTTAGATAAATGTTTTAATATTTATTTATTTTTTAATATCAAAGGAAGGAGCTGTCTTAAAACACCTAGAAGCTCTTTTCTGATATTTCTAAATAAATATCTTATTTATATAAATTAATAAATTTACTTAAAATTATAGTAATAACTTTAAATTAAATATTTTAAATTTTAATTTCTAATAATAAGAGACAATTTATAATTAAAAAGTACCAATTTTGGGCGTTGTAGGGGTGCTAATCCTTCCCTAAACGTAACCGACCACGAATCCCTTTTTTATTAAAAAGAATGAATTTTTGGTTAAAACGCAGATCAGCTTATCTTTTAATCAATGTTTTCTTAAAAACTCTTTTAAAAAATGATTTTTAGGTATTCAACCTACCTGACCCAAAAGGCCGATGGCGACTCCCAAATTATTTAAAAAACCATTTATTCACATTATTTTTCCCGCCAAGTGTAAAAATTTCGTGCCCGGACGAAAACCGGTTACGACAGCTTGGCGACTCCGCTGGGGAATCAAGTCAAACTTTAAAATCAATTGTAAATTGTCTCTATCAGTTAGAAATTAAAAAATTCATATATTTAATTTTTAATTCTTTTCTTTCAAATTTTTTATTACTTATTATTTTATTTATTTATTATATTCAAGAATTAATTATTTTATCTGTTTGTTAGAGGTTTTAACATTCCTCCTCACACACAACACTTGCATAACATAAAGCTCTATAATTGAGTTTGTCCTTTTAAGTGGGAGTGAAAGCGACGTCTTCGTGAGAATTTATTCTCCGTGTCAGACCTAGCAAGTAACTTTCGGGGTTCATATGCTCTATGTCTTCGTGAGAATTTATTCTCCGTGTCAGGTATAGAGAAATGTGTCCCCTCGAATTGAACTCGATCCGTTTAAAGTCTGTAATGGACTAGGATTGAGGGTTGATAGCCCAAGGGGGCATCAACAAGGACAATTCGAGTACCTTTACTCCTAGAACTGAAACTCTGCATATAATAAACCCTAGAAATTCACCTAATCTAAGACAGTACTGAACCTCTGTTCATAGAAGGAGAAATAAGCTCTAGCTTTTAATTTATTTAATTTATTATTATTTTTTCTCCCTGAATAAATGCATGCGAACTAAAAATCATGCGGTTAGGTTAATTTTTCCTAACAAAACATGGAACTAGAAAGTATGAGGTTAAGATTTCTACCTTAATAGATAGATTTTTTATTAGTTAGTAATAACTATTTTATTTTTTCTCATTTCTTTTGTTTGCATTGCATGATCATAGCATAACCAAAAAGGTGTTTACTAGAAAGACTGTTCATCGTATTGGAAAGAAATCGTAAATGGACAAAAAGTTTTATGATAAAACAAAATATGATGCGGCCAAAGAAAGACATCCTGAGGAAACTCTGAGGATAGAAGCAAGCTATGCACCCAAAGATCGTATGACCATTAAGGAGCAAGAGGAGATACGAGAAATAAGAGAGCAGATGTCCAAGATGATGGATAGAATATCTGTTTTGGCCAAAGGAAAAGAGATTCCAACACAGAAAGAGAGAGAGCTCAATGAACCTAACCCTGCAGTTTCAGATACGCAAGGGATTTCGATTCTTAACCAATTTGAAGAATTACAGACAGTCATCATTCGTATTCACAAATCGTCTGGAGATACCAAAGAAATGGTGACGACTGTACAAGCTCCCAGAGAAGAGAAGAAATCATGTAATCAGAAATCATCAAAGTTTGGTCTGCTCCCGACGTCTAAAACTCAGGTTCAATCCAAAACAAAAGGTGGTTCTCATTTTGATGCTATCCCTATATTATATAAAGAGTTGTACGAGAAGTTACTTGAAGCACGAGAAGTGGCTCCATATTACATAAAACCATTCCAACCTCCATATCCAAATTGGTATGACATCAATGTTCATTGTGAATATCATGCCAGAGCTCAAGGACATACCATCGAGAATTGTCTTGCCTTCAAACGTCGAGTTCAAAGTCTTCTGGATCATGGAACCTTGCAATTTATGGTAAATGATCGACCTAGTTTGGTAACCGAGGGTCCTGATAGATTAATACCAAAAGTCTTCAAATGTAAGAATATCAGTAGGGGCGTTCAAAAGGAAGAAGATTTGCTTAGATTCGAAGTTCAAATACGTCATTTGAAGGATCAAAACAATGAATTGAGCACCAAAATGGAAAACATACAAGAAGATTTCCAGAAGGTCAGTCAAGCCTTTCAAAATGCTGGTATAGGGAACACCCAGAAGAGTGGATAACAGGGGTCACCAAACTGAAGAAGAACTGTAACATACATGAAGGACGAGCCAAGAAGTTTTATCATAATTCACGAGTTGCAGAAGAAAGATGCAATACGTCTGTTAGTGAATTAAAAAGATGTCAAGTCAAAAATCAAAGGTTAAATAGTGCTATGACCAACATGGAAGCATCATATCAGATTCATCAGCTTGAGATCGATACTGAATTAAAAGCCACTATAGACAAGAACAAGACATTGAATAAATGTTTAGATGATTATGGAGATCTTGTACGAGAACTTTTTGAACACAAAGATTCTTTCACAAGAAAAAATGAACAACATTGTTTACAACTCCGAGAATCGACACGAAGGATAAAGGAAAAAAGACAATATCATGAATGAAGCTGCTGCTCAAGCAAACAATGTGGCTCATAAGCTGGTGGACTTAGCTG